TGTATATATCCCACTCTGGGGTTGAGGTGAATAAAAGATCTGTGTTGTGACCTAAATAACATGCTCTTGCTATCTGCAGAAAGTATTAAAGCATGAAATCCCGCATTTTTAATGTACGAAAGCATCTTGTATCATAACTACATGTGTGCTGTTTGTAACAAACCAAACTGCGTGAAAATCAGTTGAAAATTCAGTGAGTTATTCTATTTTACTTATGCTTACAGCTCCTTCCTCAATAGAAGTGAATGCACTGTGGAAGCGAGACCCATCCAAGATGGTGGCCGGGCTAGGACGTCGGCTCCAATAGGCAGCGGCAGTCAATGCGGCGTCTATGTATATATGTCGATGGGTCGGACGCCCAGTAATGCGTGGCTTGGTAACTGATTGTCTGTGTGCGCTGATTGCTTGTTAATCTCCTGACTTTTGAAATATGTTGAAAATGTAATGTGTAAATTGTAAATTTAAATTGGTATGTGTTGAGCACATCTTAAAGTATTTCACTTTGACATTTAGTGAATTATGCAATGAATGTTGATTGTATTGGGTGTGTCACAGAAGTAATTAGTAGATTGGGAGAGCAGTTTGAATATAACATGATTTGAAACATTTCATATTTACAGATTCAATTCAAGCCTTATACTCATACATACTTTTAATTGTAAGCATTTTTTGTCATTTGTGAAAGTGTAATTTTGTAATTTCACTTTATTAAAATTGACCATAAAATTTAATGTTAAAACCTTTTAAAAAATTAAGGTTAAAAAGCCTGTAAAAATCTGTATTTAAGTTTAAGAAGTAATTCATGTTAAAATACATTTAATGGTAAAATACAGAAATTGAGACAATTTAAGTTAAATTAAATTTAAGTTAAAATATACATTTAAAACAACAATAAATATTTAAAAAGTAGTGAAATACCTTACCTGAAACTATGCTAAAACCATTTACAGCAGTGGGTAACTTTATTTGCACTTGATTTGTAATTTAATGTAAATATCATTGGGTTTCACAATATTGAAGTGTTTATTTTTTGGCATTTTGTATACTTATTTTCTGTTGGTGATTTGCAATAGCATTTGCATTGTGTACAGACTTTAAACTTTTTCTCTGGTTTCTGTTTCTTTTATTGAAAGGTTTTTCACCTACACATGGCAAATGGCATAATCTGCTTGCGCCTGAAAAATAAAAGAAGGAAAAGGAAAAGCGGCCTGGTCATTGAGTGAAATCTAGTTAAGACCTCTGGTAGATGCCTCTCTCCCTTTCAAGTGGGGATATTGTATGGAAAACATTTAAGAACTTGACAAACATATTACAAAAGGCAAATTTTCACATAATCTGCCAAAATACACCTGGAGCTCTGGTGTTAATAAGCTGCATCACTGGAGGGAGGTTGGAGGGCGGAGGATATGAGTTAATATCTGCTATCTCTGCCTCACCCTTCCTTATCCACAACACCCTTCTCGCGACAACCCTTTCTTCTCACAAACTACTTAGGGTGCGATCACACAGAAAGCATTTTAGCAGCTAAAATCCGCTTTTTGTTATTGTTTTTTATGAGAATTAAGCTCTGAACTCCTAAGGCTGAGAAAACTTCAACTCAAAGCGGAAAACGCCGCACATCATCTCTTTTTCATTATCTTCTTTCCCATTATCCAATCAGATGAATTGAGAGGCAGCTGATCTACTGTGGTAGTCACAACAACAATTTTACAGTTCTCTACAACCGGAAGAACTACCATCCCAAAAATTCCATTTCTAGAGTACTACCTAAAATATGTGAAATTCAACATAATTATAAATTTACACATCTTGTAGGAGACAAACACAGAAAAGAAAAATTCAAAGATAAGGTTCAGTCCCGTTGTAGGTGTCCTTTTCTTTTTTAGGCCAAAGCTAAAAGCATCTTTAGCCTAGTAAGGAGGGATCCTCACTATCGCTCTGCCAGTCAAGTAAAAAAAAAAAAAAGTTAGTCAAGGCCTGAGTGATAGTGTCAAAGTCGAAGTCTATGAAGCCTGAAGGTCAGCTGGATGTCCTCAGGGTCCCTCTGCCTCCTGCAGAAGGCAGATCTTGGTGATTGGCCTTTCCAGACAGATGGTCTTGGTCTTGATTCGTATCTGATGCACAAGTCCTCTTCTGTCTGGTTTAGTTTGTACAATCCTTCCTGTGAGCCATGAGTTTCGAGGTTCTGAGTCATCAACTATTATAACAATATCTCCAGGAAGGACATCCCGCTTTACAGTAGACCATTTCTGACACTCCTGCAGTAGAGGTAAGTACTCTTTGACCCACCTTATCCAAAACAAGTCAGCCATGTACTGAACTTGTTTCCATTTACAACAAGCATATATATCCTCCTTTTGGAGCTGACCTGGTGGCAACGATGGCTTTGTCTTGAGTAGCAAAAGATGGTTAGAAGTTACTGCCTCCAGGTCACTGGGGTCAGTAGATGCTCTGATAATAGGACGGCTATTGATGATAGCTTCTGCTTCGCAAAGAGATGTGTGAAGGCCTTCCTCTTCAAGGTTCTGCACCTTCAAGATGGATTTAAGGACTTTCCTCACGAATCTTAACAATCTTTCCCATACTCCTCCATGATGTGATCCAGTGGGGGGGTTGAATGTCCACTTAATCCCCTTTTGAAGGAGGATGTCATTGATTTGAGCAAGATTCCAATCTTCCATCGCCTTCCACAATTCATGCTCTGCTCCAACAAAGTTGGTTCCATTATCCAATCTTAATTCAAATATCTGTCCATGTCTTGCTGTAAAACGTCAGAGAGCATTGATAAAGGAATCTGTGTCCAATGATGATGCTATTTCAATGTGGACGGCCCTTATTGATAAACATGTGAAGAGTACTCCATACTTCTTCACTGTACTTCTTCCTTGTTTAACTTCAAAGGGTCCAAAATAATCTACGCCAACACGAGTTAAGGGAGGGTCATTTGGAGAAACTCTGTCCCAAGGCAAATCTGCCATCAGCTGTTGCCCAGGAGCTGCATGCAGTCGTCGACAGACAATACACTTGGACAGGATTTTCCTAATGGCCACACTTGCACAAGGGATCCAATATTTCTGACTGAGACTTGATAACATGTGGTTGCAACCACCATGTCCCACCTCTACATGGATGTGCTGAAGGATAATGTCAGAAATATGGAGGTCTTTCGCTAGAATGGCCGGATGTTTCGATTCCTCGGGCACAGCGGCTCTACTCAGTCATCCTCCAATTCTCAGAACACCATCTTTAATTACTGGACTGAGCTTGTAGATGTGACTGGATCTATTCACGCTTTCTCTCTTTTGCAGGCTGTTGAATTCATTTGGAAATCTCTTCCTTTGACAAAAGCAGATAATCTCCATCTCAGCCTTTCTGAGGTCCTCAACTGAAAGAGAACCACTTATCCGCTGTGAGGGTCCTAAGCACAGAGGGATGTCGTATGCTGTAAAGCCCTGTGAGGCAAATTGTGATTTGTGATATTGGGCTTTATAAATAAAATTGAATTGAATTGTCAGCCTTGGCCTTGATACTCTGCATCCCCCTTTTCATCTCCTTTTCCTGTTGGTCTTTATCTAAGCCAGACTAAGCAAGACACACTCTCCTGCTTCCTTTTCTGGCTGAGACCCAGTAGCAGGCTCTTAAACTTGAGAATCCAACCAACCATCCTCTTCAGACAGACCCAAGAAGAGAAATGACTGATCAAGTGGGTCACTGCATCCACCTCCTCTTCAGGCTGAACCGCATTCATCATCAAACTCACCTTGACCTCAGGGTCATCAGGGGACATTCTCTCAGGGCCATCAGGGTTCACTGGCCATTTCTCTTCAGGCCCAAGGAGAAACTGAGGTCCAAACACGCAGATGTCTTCTCTCAGAAGCAGTCCCACCTTGGCTCCCCTGGAAGCCAAATCACCAGGGTTACTTGTGGTGTTGACATATCTCCACTGAGATGGATTTGATACGCTGAGTATCTTTGAAACCCTGTTGGCCACAAAGGTTCGAAACCTTGAAGTTTCATTTCTGATGTATTTCAGTACAGAAGTACTATCTGTCCAAAAAATTGAGTCCTGAAGCTGCATTTGAAGCTCCTTTCTCCACATTTTTTCCATAAGACCAGCAACCATGGCAGCCGTTAACTCCATCCGAGGGATAGTGACTGGTTTCAGTGGGGCTACTCTGGCTTTCCCCATTATGAAAGCACAGTGTACCTGTCCGTGGATGTTATGCAGTAACGGGAACACTATTCCGTAACCGCTTTTACGCGCATCTGCAAAGTGGTGTAGCTAAGCAGATGTTACTTCTCCAAAATCTTATGCAGTAGAGTCCGGTACATCCTCGTCCCAACCAAGTTTCTTTCTGCACAGGTCTTGGAGAATCTTTTTGGTGGATAGGACCACAGGTGCCAAGATGCCCAACAGGTCATAGATTGAACTGACAGTGGAAAGGATCCAACCAGTGTGCTGGTGAGATCAGGTCCCTGCAGCAGCTGCGCATTTAGTGATGTTGCCCAGAACGTAGCTCCACAGTCAAATACGACCCTAATTTTACTCTTTCTCAGGTGGTATACACCATTATGTGGTATATATTGCATTCCAGATCCTCAGCCGGGATCTTCTCCGCATAGCCTTTACAGATGATGTCCTTCATGAATGTGATGTAGTCAGCATGAAATGAAGCATCTTTGACAAACCTCCTTTTCAATCAATCAATCAATCAATCAATCAATCAATCAATCAATCAATCAAATAATCCATCAATCAACCAATCAATCAAATAATCAATCAATCAATCAATCAATCAATCAATCAAATAATCAAATTTATAAAGCCCAATATCACAAATCACAATTTGCCTCACAGGGTTTTACAGCATACAACATCCTTTTGTCCTTAGGACCCTCACAGCGGATAAGGAAAAACTCCCCCCACAAAACCCTTTAACGGGGGAAAAAAAGATGGTAGAAACCTCAGGAAGAACAACTGAGGAGGGATCCCTCTTCCAGGACGGACAGATGTGCAATAGAAGTCAGATACAGAACAGATCAACATAATAAATTAACAGTAATCCGTATGACACAATGAGACAGAATGACAGTAGCTTACAACAACATTAATGAAAGTAATAATATTATAGTTATAATTCTGGCTATTGTGGTACAATATGTTGAAAGTATATATTAATATCTGATAGTATACATATGTGAGAATAATCATATGTGTATAATAACAGTAGAAGTGTGACTAATGATAACAGCAGCAGCAGGAGGCATCTGGCAGGACCACGGCAGCAGCACAACCACACACGTCACACCATCCAGACACCACTGCGATATAAGTTAACATGCGAGACAGTGGAGCACAAAGGCTCTGGAGAAGAAGCCAAGTTAGTGACATGCAGTACGGCCGAGTTAGCAAGATGCAGTAACAGGACATGAGAGAGAGAAAGAGAGAAGGAGAGAAGGTGCCCGGTGTATTATAGGGGGTCCCCCGGCAGACTAGGCCTAAGTCAGCCTAACTAGGGGCTGGTACAAGGCAAGCCTGAACCAGCCCTAACTATAAGCTTTATCAAAGAAGCAAGTCTTAAGTCTAGTTTTAAATGTGGAGAAGGTGTCTGCCTCCCGGACCGCAACAGGAAGATGATTCCACAGAAGAGGAGCCTGATAGCTGAAGGCTCTGGCTCCTGATCTACTTTTGGAGACTTTAGGGAGATTATGTGCATCAAGCACCCAATGCCACTGTCGCTCCACAGGGTCAATATCCTCTGATGACCTGGGAAGATTCCCAAGGATATTGACGGGGCCCAAGAACCCCTACGCGGGAGGGGCTGGCAGACCCCTACCTGCGACTGAAAGTACTGAATCAAGAACTGCCTTTCATCTTAGACATGGGGGCACGGTATTCCACATTAAACCTCCCTGTGTCTGCTACTCACATTTCATCATCAGCGGTTGAATTAACTGGGTTCTCGGGTCAATCAGAAAATCTGCCACTCACAAAACCACTCACCACTACCATACTCCAAGCAGATCAAACATTTCCACACACATTTGTTTCCTCAATGGCATGTCCTGTTAACCTTTTGGGCAGAGATGTGTTATTAAAGTGTGGAGCCTCCATCCTGTGCAGCCCGGATGGACTGATAGTGACATTCCCAAACGGGTACACTGTGAACTGCTCATTATCAACTGTACATTCATCTTCACAAATGTTGTTATCTGCAGACACATCCCCCACAGCTGAAGGACAGTGGGCAGATATCTACTGGGGCCTCCTTGAAACACCACAGCAACTCCTGGGATTTGCGCTCTCTATCAGTCATGGCGCCCTTGGGTTCAGTCATTAAATCCCTACACGCCTCCTCCTGATCCCTTCCATGTAACACTCTATTATGATAGAAAAGGGGATGAGCTGTATCAGCAGGCATTTTATAATGAAATTGAAGGTCACAGGTGGGATATACAGTCGTCCTGTATACTGGTGGGTAATGAGGGAGTGGCTGCAGCTGTTGACCTCGCTTCAGAACAGCAACAGTGGTATGAAGGGGAGGAAGAAGCCTCCCCTCACATATCTCTGGCAATCCATGCAAAACATCAGGCCAAAGACTTGGGCCCTATGTGTAAGAGGTTAATGCAACTCACTGATTGGATCCGCACCCAAATTCCTCAGGTGGATTTCTCACCCTCTGAGAAAGCATATC